ACATCACACCCCCGTTACATCACACCTACGTTACATCACACCTCCGTTACATCAAACCCCCGTTACATCGCACCTCCGTTACATCACACCCCCGTTACATCGCACCTCCGTTACATCACACCTCCGTTACATCACACCCCCGTTACATCACACCTCCGTTACATCGCACCTCCGTTACATCGCACCTCCGTTACATCACACCTCCGTAAAATCACCCCCCCGTTACATCACACCCCCGTTACATCACACCTCCGTTACATCACACCTCCGTAAAATCATACCTCCGTTACATCATCACACCTCCGTTAAATCACACCTCCGTAAAATCATCCACCCACCCCAGCTACATCACACCTCCGTTACATCACACCTCCGTAAAATCACACCTCCGTTACATCACACCCCCTTTCCATCACACCTCCGTTACATCGCACCTCCGTTACATCACACCCCCGTTACATCACACTTCCGTTACTTCGCACCCCGTTACATCACAACTTCGTTACATCACATCCCCGTTACATCAAACCCCCGTTACATCACACCTCCGTTACATCGCATCCCCGTTACATCATACCTCTGTTACATCACACCCCCGTTACATCGCACCCCCGTTACATTACACCTTCGTTACATCACATCCCCGTTACATCACACCCCCGTTACATCGCACCCCCGTTACATCACAGCGCCGTTACATCACAGCCCCGTTACATCACACCTCCGTTACATCACACCTCCGTTACATCAAACCCCCGTTACATCACACCCCCGTTACATCACACCTCCGTTCATCACGCCCCCGTTACATCACACCTCCGTTACATCACCAACCCACCCCCGTTACATCACACACCCGTTACATCACACCTCCGTAAAATCACACCCCCGTTACATCACACCCCCGTTACATCACACCTCCGTTACATCACACCTCCGTAAAATCATACCTCCGTTACATCATCACACCTCCGTTACATCACACCTCCGTAAAATCATCCACCCACCCCCGCTACATCACACCTCCGTTACATCACACCTCTGTAAAATCACCCCACCCCCCCGTTACATCACACCTCCGTTACATCACACCTCAGTTACATCACACCCCCGTTACATCACACCCCCTTTACATCACAGCTCCTTTACATCACACCCCCGTTACATCACACTCCCGTTACATCACAACACCGTAAAATCACCCCCCCCCCCCCCCCCCCCCCCACCCCCCGTTACATCACACCCCCATTACATCAGACCCCCGTTACATCAGACCCCCGTTACATGACACGGAGCAAATATCTTCACAACAACGATGAAACACGAACCAAGGCAGACACGAACCTGTTGGACAGTTTATTGAAGACAAACTACAACATGAAAAAGTATAAAATATGTTGAAACAAATGCTACATAACGAGAGTAAAATGAGAACCATAAACAAATAAACTAAAATAATACATGACATTACATTGTAGACATGGCAAAGCATGCTACTGCGGGGGCGAGAAGGATGTCATGATGAAGTTATGATGATGTCATGTTAATGTCATGATAATGTCCTGATGATGTCCTGATGATGTCCTGATGATGTGATGATGTGATGATGATGTTATGTCATGATAAGGTTATGATGATGTGATGATGATGTCATGGTGTCATGATGATGTCGTCATGTCACGGTGATGTTATGATGTCATGATGATGTGATAATATCATGATGATGTCATGACGATGTCATGTCATGATGATGTCATGATGATGTAATGATGAGGTTATGATGGTGTTATGATGATGATGTGACACAACTCTAAATATGTTTACCATATACACATCTATAAAGACCGACAGGGCCAACATGGAGTCGGTCATATCACAGGGGGGTATTCACCAGACCCGTATTCCAGCCCCTGCAGGGAATATAGGGCTTGTCAATGCATTTGGAATTGACAATGGATGTCAGCCCGGTTGGATAGAAATTAGAGTTATGTCCCTTGGTGCGTCGTCTGCTTGGCTAGCCTTCTGGTGACAAGTTCCTCCAAACAAGGTGAACCTGATTTTTCGGACACACGCTGAATGTAGAGATGTTTTATGAATGGATACATTCTACAAGTGGATGTAATGGTATATGATAAAAAGGTTTTATTATATTACCCGACACGCCCGTATCCCACCGCCACCTATATCTGGCGGGCTGACATTGGGGTGTCAGGTTGTCATGGGGTGTCGGGCTGACATTGGGGTGTCTGGATGACATTGGGGTGTCGGGCTGACATTGGGGTGTCGGGTTGTCATAGGGTGTCGGGTTGTCATGGGGTGTCGGGCTGACATTGGGGTGTCGGGTTGTCATAGGGTGTCGGGTTGTCCTAAGGTGACGGGTTGTCCTGGGGTGTCGGGTTGTCCTGGGGTGTCGGGTTGTCATGGGGTGTCGGGTTGTCCTGGGGTGTCGGGTTGTCATAGGGTGTCGGGTTGTCATAGGGTGTCGGGTTGACATGGGGTGTCGGGCTGACATTGGGGTGTTGGGTTGTCATAGGGTATCGGGTTGTCCTAAGGTGTCGGGTTGTCCCAGGGTGTCGGGTTGTCCTGGGTTGTCAAAGGGTGCCGGGTTATCATAGGGTATCGGGTTGTCCTAAGATGTCGGGTTGTCCTGGGGTGTCGGGTTGTCCTGGGGTGTCGGGTTGTCCTGGGGCTGCGGGTTTTCATAGGGTGTCGGGTTGACATGGGGTGTCTGGTTGTCATAGGGTGTCGGGTTGTCATGGGTTGTCGGGTTGTCATAGGGTGCCGGGTTGTCCTGGGGTGTCGGGTCGTCATGGGGTGTCGGGTTGACATGGGGGTGTCTGGTTGTCATAGGGTGTCGGGTTGTCATGGGTTGTCGGGTTGCCATAGGGTGTCGGGTTGACATGGGATGTTGGGTTGTCATGGGGTGTCGGGTTGACATGGGGTGTCTGGGTGTCATAGGGTGTCGGGTTGTCATGGGTTGTCGGGTTGTCCTAGGGTGTCGGGTTGACATGGGGTGTCGGGTTGTCATGGGGTGTCGGGTTGACATGGGGGTGTCTGGTTGTCATAGGATGTTGGGTTGTCATAGGTTGTCGGGTTGTCATAGGGTGTCGGGTTGTAATAGGGTGTCGGGTTGTCATAGGATGTCGGGTTGACATGGGGGTGTCGGGTTGTCATAGGGTGTCGGGTTGTCATGGGCTGTCGGGCCGACATTTGGGTGTCGGGTTGCCATGGGGTATCGGGCTGACATTGGGGTGTCGGGTTGTCATGGGGTGTCGGGCTGTCATGGGGTGTTGAGTTGTCATGGGGTATCGGGCTGACATCGAGGTGTCGGGCTGACATTTGGGTGCCGGGTTGGCCTGGGGTGTCGGGTTGTCATAGGGTACCGGGTTGTCATGGGCTTTAGGGTTGTCATGGGGTGTTGAGTTGTCATGGGGTGTCGGGTTGTCATAGGGTGTCGGGTTGTCATGAGCTGTCGGGCCGACATTGGGGTGTCGGGTTGCCATGGGGTATCGGGCTGACATTGGGGTGTCGGGTATTCATGGGGTGTCGGGCTGTCATGGGGTGTCGGGCTGTCATGAGGTGTCAGGTTGTCATGAGTAGTCGGGCTGTCGTAGGGTGTCTGGTTGTCATGAGGTGTCGGGCTGTCATGGGATGTCGGGCTGACATTGGGGTGTCGGGTTGTCATGGGGTGTCTGGTTGTCATGGGATGTGGGGCTGTCATGGGGTGTCGGGTTGTCATGGGGTGTCGGGTTGTCATGGGGTGTCTGGTTGTCATGTGGTATCGGGATGTCATGGGGTGTCGGGGTGTCATGGGGTGTTTGGTTGTCATGGGGTATGATAGAAAAGCTGCTGTACAACAACCCCTAACTATTGTGACTTTTCTTAAATTACCACACTGCAGAGTGTAGTCTTCATGTCACTCGTATAGCACAGGATGAAACGCTACAACAGACCCCACTAATAATATGTCGGTTTGCTAGCATGCGCATTGAGAGAAGGAATCTGTTGCTGTTGTAAAGTTGGAAATGTTCATTGAGCCTTACAACACTGAGCATCATGAAATTTCAATACATAAATACACTTCAAAAACCTTCCAAAACATATTCAACTGTACATATAGGCCGAACCAGAGGTACATGTCTTTGTCCCAGCCTGATGAGACCGCCTACGTGGTCTAGTGGTAGAGCGTCCGCCCGGAGAGCGGAAGGTCCGGGGTTCGGCCGCATATCAAAAGACGTCAAAAGATGGTACTTGTTGTTACCTGTCTGGCGCTCGGCATTAAGGGGCTAAAACAAGGACTGGTCGGCTCGGAGTCAGTATACTGTGTCTGAGTGGGGTATTCATGTTAAAACTGCGGCATGGTATCTCAGTGAGCTAGCACTATAAATAGGCATCAGTTAGGACTAGTACAAGCAGCCACACAAACGAACACACATACATGCACGTCGCTGTAGGGGTGCAATAATCTTGGACGCGACGTTAAACCCAACCCTCACCTCACCCATCTTGATGTCGTCTAAAGTCTGGCTGCCCTACATGAAAGTTTGTAGTTGTTCCCCCACACAAGACCTCATACAATATAACCATTAAGTGTAAGCATCACAGTTGTTGCACTACAAATATTGTTTGATAAAAGAACTTGACATAAATAACATATCAATACCGTCACATATAACGTCAGTACGTAATTTGAGGAAGAAGTCTTCCAACTTATGCACCGGTACTATACACTTTTCACTTGACTTTAAAACATGAAAGACATGTCCATTCCTCCTTTGTACATGATTCCATATCACCATTAAAATCCACACAAAGAGAGACATGTTGCTTGGGACATTTGTTACTAAACTTGGTGGGGGCACGGGTGGCCCAGTCGTCTAAGACGCCGCGAGTTGCGTCTCTTGGGCACGCCAGAAACCTAGGATTGTGGGTTCGTACCCGGTTCGCCCCGATTATGTTTCTTGGTTTGTCAGCACCGTACCCGTGCTCGTGGGTTTCACCGAAGTTGTAAACGTCTGAGATTCGCATCACTTCGGGCTTTCCTCCCACATTAAGCTGACACGCCGTGATATAACTGTAATACTGTTAAAATCGGCGTTAAACCCAACGCACTCACTCACTGCTAAACCTGGTGACCATAGTTGCATCTTAATGTTCAGAGGTTGTCAGCATCATACCCGTGTCTAAGACATTCATCTCTTCGAGCTTCCCGCCCACATTAACCTGACATGCCTAGATATAACTGGCATACTGTTGAACCCAGCTCACTGACTCACTCACTCCTCAGAGGTTCAGGACCATTTCTCAAAAATGAAAAACGAAATACTCTCCACAAGACTGTTTGACAAGGGGGATGACTTCAACTTCCCAAGTGTCACCTTTCCTTGGATATTGAACATTGACCTGATTTCCCAAGGGGCAAACATGAATACCTTGCACCTGTTCGGGTGCTCGAGCTGTTGCAGTTGAGCTTTGCATTGTGTGCACTGGTTACAAGCTTAGAAGGAGGTTGGTCAGTGTATGACACAATTGGAATGGTCATTGTCCTATCATGCAACAGATGCCCCAGCAGCTTCAGTTAAGGAAGTGTTTTATCAACATTGTCCAGCCAAGATGTGGCTGCTATGGCAGCAGATATACAACATACCTATTGCCTTATTAGCTTCAATCAAGGAAATGTTTTATCATTTATCCCGCCGAGGTGTGGTCAATATGTAGGTATATCGATCAAGAAGTAGTCTCATGGCGTGACTGATTGCACATTTGCCTCGTACCCTGTTATTATCGGCTAAACTCAGCTACTGAGATCACTAGTCTTGTCTTCTACATACAAAGTAAGTACATACAAAGTAGTACTCGCTGATTTCAAATCCTTATCTATTCGATACTTCGTATTTTGTACACTGTTTATTCCTTCACTTAAGGATGACTGATCGGTGTGCCAGCCAATCGTTTGGCATAGATCTCACCATATACCTCTGACAGCAAGATCAGGGGCTTATATTTGTCAACAGTCGTGGTGTCCCCGGACTGAACATGTACATAGTCACGAAGGAATTGGAGATGACAATGCTCCAAGGTGAAGGATGGGTTGATATCAAACAAGGCAGAAGCACAGGCATTATATACCGTTTGGTGTGAAAATCCTGTGATGTCTCCTTTGGTGAAAAACGTACCACGGAATCTTCTGACAGCCATGACAACTGATGTTCGCGTTTTTATTGGAACAACACCTTTCGCTGTCTTCAAGAGATCTTCAAGGATTGAGTTCTCAGATCTTTCTAACTCACGCAAATTCAACTTATCTGAACACAGGAACATTAGAACAAGCGCAGCCGGCTGCTCATTCATGCATTGAAGAATTGAGACAAGTTCCTCTCTTAAGTAATGGAAAGGATCCCGGAAGAAATCTTCACAATGGCGTTGAAAATTCAGGTATTCAACAAATAGTTTGCATGTTTGAGGAAATCCAAGAGAGGACTGATCAAACTTACAGATTGTATCTACATCAAATGATGTTTGATCATGTTTACAATGATTCATGAAGATGGCCTTCTTCTCCTCTACTGTGTATTGGCAGGATGACGTATATGTCAAGTCAAAACTTGAAGAGCCTTTGAAGAAAAAGGTGTCCAGTTCCCCAAGTTGTGGTATTCTGCTTTTAGCATCGTGGATGTTTGTTGTGAAAATGGCGTACACCCTTGTTTTTTTTCTGGCAGATGATCGCTTACCGCTTTTCGTTTCAGACCTGGATGAGAATTTTACAAAATATTGTTGGAGTTCCTGGAGAAGGTCTCGAAGGTGAGATACATCTTTCAAGTCTTGTGTCCTGAATATGTCGTGAAATATGAAACACACATCCTTTCCAAGACCAATGTGTTCAGACAGCTTGAATCTGCAAACGTCAGCAACATACATCAGTTGAAATCCCAGTTCTTGATAATGTGCCCCCAACATGACAGCAATGGATTTCTTTCCGCCCCCTGCCGCACCACTCATTGTCACGTGTCCGCACTTCTCCAGCATGTCCTTCACTATCCAGTAGATGGAGGTCTTCACGAAGGACTTCTTCGTTTCTGCAATCTCATTGTCCAGTAATTCTACCAGGTAAATCAGAGGATTTAAATTATGATAATGCACTTCCCAACCAATACATGTCACTAATAGCACTGCTCCCTTACTCTCATGTAGCACACGCCAAGCATTTTCTTATCCTTGCATTGGCAACACATATTTAATGTTATTACTTTGGTGCTGTTGTTTGATTACATGTGTTAGCGAATGTATGTTCTTTGCCCCTGGACTGGATTATGTGTTATAAATGCAAATATACTCGACACATTTAGAGCCAAAGGCTCTGTAGCTCACCTGATTTATAAAGGAATAATTGCATGGCACTTATTTGCAATGTATAGAAGAAAACGCAGTGCAACATATTCTAGGAAAAATGACAATGACATTTAATTTTAGAAAGATTAGTAATTGCCATTATAGTTATCTTTGTTTATTGTTCCAGTGTTGCACCATGTTTTATTCCATAGTTACCTTTGTTTATTGTTCCAGTGTTGCACCATGTTTTATTCCATAGTTACCTTTGCTTATTGTTCCAGTGTTGCACCATGTTTTATTCCATAGTCACCTTTGTTTATTGTTCCAGTGTTGCACCATGTTTTATTCCATAGTCACCTTTGTTTATTGTTCCAGTGTTGCACCATGTTTTATTCCATAGTTACCTTTGTTTATTGTTCCAGTGTTGCACCATGTTTTATTCCATAGTTACCTTTGTTTATTGTTCCAGTGTTGCACCATGTTTTATTCCATAGTTACCTTTGCTTATTGTTCCAGTGTTGCACCATGTTTTATTCCATAGTCACCTTTGTTTATTGTTCCAGTGTTGCACCATGTTTTATTCCATAGTTACCTTTGTTTATTGTTCCAGTGTTGCACCATGTTATATTCCATAGTTACCTTTGTTTATTGTTCCAGTGTTGCACCATGTTTTATTCCATAGTTACCTTTGCTTATGGTTCCAGTGCTGCACCATGTTTTATTCCATAGTTACCTTTGCTTATGGTTCCAGTGTTGCACCATGTTTTATTCCATAGTTACCTTTGTTTATTGTTCCAGTGTTGCACCATGTTTTATTCCATAGTTACCTTTGCTTATTGTTCCAGTGTTGCACCATGGTTTATTCCATAGTTACCTTTGTTTATTGTTCCAGTGTTGCACCATGTTTTATTCCATAGTTACCTTTGTTTATTGTTCCAGTGTTGCACCATGTTATATTCCATAGTTACCTTTGCTTATTGTTCCAGTGTTGCACCATGTTTTATTCCATAGTTACCTTTGCTTATGGTTCCAGTGTTGCACCCTCCCTTTGATTCCATAGTTACCTTTGCTTATGGTTCCAGTGTTGCACCCTCCCTTTGATTCTATAGTTACCTTTGCTTATGGTTCCAGTGTTGCACCATGTTTTATTCCATAGTTACCTTTGCTTATGGTTCCAGTGTTGCACCCTCCCTTTGATTCCATTTTTCCCTTGATTGATTCCTTTACTCCCAATTCTGATGAAAAAAGTAAATGAAAAAAAAAAAATTATTAGCATCGTTGGTGATACATAATTTGTAAAGTTGTAAAGTAAGACATATCATTTGAACATTTTCAATCATCTTAGTTATTTAATATAAAATATCAACTCCACAGAACAACCAGTCTTGTCTAGCCGACAAAACAGTTTCCAGTGGGCACAAAAGAAAATTAGAAAACTGTATGAATGAATCAATGAAAATTGGTTTAAAGTCATGCTGTTGTGTCCAATAGGTTAGGTGAGGTGAGGTCAAGTGAATGCGGATTGACGTCACGTTGTTGCGTCAAATAGGTATGGTGGGGTAAAGTGAGTATAACGTCAGGTTGTTGTGTCAAATAGGTGTGGTGGGGTAAAGTGAGTATAACGTCAGGTTGTTGCGTCAAATAGGTGTGGTGGGGTAAAGTGAGTATAACGTCACGTTGTTGCGTCAAATAGGTATGGTGGGGTAAAGTGAGTATAACGTCACGTTGTTGCGTCAAATAGGTATGGTGGGGTAAAGTGAGTATAACGTCAGGTTGTTGTGTCAAATAGGTGTGGTGGGGTAAAGTGAGTATAACGTCACGTTGTTGCGTCAAATAGGTGTGGTGGGGTAAAGTGAGTATAACGTCACGTTGTTGCGTCAAATAGGTATGGTGGGGTAAAGTGAGTATAACGTCACGTTGTTGCGTCAAATAGGTATGGTGGGGTAAAGTGAGTATAACGTCAGGTTGTTGTGTCAAATAGGTGTGGTGGGGTAAAGTGAGTATAACGTCACGTTGTTGCGTCAAATAGGTATGGTGGGGTAAAGTGAGTATAACGTCAGGTTGTTGTGTCAAATAGGTATGGTGGGGTAAAGTGAGTATAACGTCACGTTGTTGTGTCAAATAGGTATGGTGGGGTAAAGTGAGTATAACGTCAGGTTGTTGCGTCAAATAGGTATGGTGGGGTAAAGTGAGTATAACGTCACGTTGTTACGTCAAATAGGTATGGTGGGGTAAAGTGAGTATAACGTCAGGTTGTTGTGTCAAATAGGTGTGGTGGGGTAAAGTGAGTATAACGTCACGTTGTTGCGTCAAATAGGTGTGGTTGGGTAAAGTGAGTATAACGTCACGTTGTTACGTCAAATAGGTATGGTGGGGTAAAGTGAGTATAACGTCAGGTTGTTGTGTCAAATAGGTATGGTGGGGTAAAGTGAGTATAACGTCAGGTTGTTGCGTCAAATAGGTGTGGTGGGGTAAAGTGAGTATAACGTCAGGTTGTTGTGTCAAATAGGTGTGGTGGGGTAAAGTGAGTATAACGTCAGGTTGTTGTGTCAAATAGGTATGGTGGGGTAAAGTGAGTATAACGTCACGTTGTTGTGTCAAATAGATATGGTGGGGTAAAGTGAGTATAACGTCAGGTTGTTGTGTCAAATAGGTATGGTGGGGTAAAGTGAGTATAACGTCAGGTTGTTGCGTCAAATAGGTGTGGTGGGGTAAAGTGAGTATAACGTCACGTTGTTGCGTCAAATAGGTATGGTGGGGTAAAGTGAGTATAACGTCACGTTGTTGCGTCAAATAGGTGTGGTGGGGTAAAGTGAGTATAACGTCAGGTTGTTGCATCAAATAGGTATGGTGGGGTAAAGTGAGTATAACGTCACGTTGTTGCGTCAAATAGGTGTGGTGGGGTAAAGTGAGTATAACGTCAGGTTGTTGCATCAAATAGGTATGGTGGGGTAAAGTGAGTATAACGTCAGGTTGTTGTGTCAAATAGGTATGGTTGGGTAAAGTGAGTATAACGTCAGGTTGTTGTGTCAAATAGGTGTGGTTGGGTAAAGTGAGTATAACGTCAGGTTGTTGAATCGAATAGGTGTGGTGGGGTAAAGTGAGTATAACGTCAGGTTGTTGCATCAAATAGGTGTGGTTGGGTAAAGTGAGTATAACGTCAGGTTGTTGCATCAAATAGGTGTGGTGGGGTAAAGTGAGTATAACGTCAGGTTGTTGCATCAAATAGGTGTGGTTGGGTAAAGTGAGTATAACGTCAGGTTGTTGCATCAAATAGGTGTGGTTGGGTAACGTGAGTATAACGTCAGGTTGTTGAGTCAAATAGGTCAGGTGAGGTGAATGAGGTTTAACGTCTCGTTGTCTCAGGTGAGGTGAGGTGAATGAGGTTTAACGTCTCGTTGTCTCAGGTGAAGTGAGGTGAATGAGGTTTAACGTCTCGTTGTCTCAGGTGAGGTGAGGTGAATGAGGTTTAACGTCTCGTTGTCTCAGGTGAGGTGAGGTGAATGAGGTTTAACGTCTCGTTGTCTCAGGTGAGGTGAGGTGGATCAGATTTAAAGTCACATGGTGTCAAATAGGTGTAGGTGAGGTGAATGAGGTTTAACGTCTCGTTGTCTCAGGTGAAGTGAGGTGAATGAGGTTTAACGTCTCGTTGTCTCAGGTGAAGTGAGGTGAATGAGGTTTTACGTCTCGTTGTCTCAGGTGAGGTGAGGTGAATGAGGTTTAACGTCTCGTTGTCTCAGGTGAGGTGAGGTGAATGAGGTTTAACGTCTCGTTGTCTCAGGTGAGGTGAGGTGGATCAGATTTAAAGTCACATGGTGTCAAATGGGTGTAGGTGAGGTGAATGAGGTTTAACGTCTCGTTGTCTCAGGTGAAGTGAGGTGAATGAGGTTTAACGTCTCGTTGTCTCAGGTGAAGTGAGGTGAATGAGGTTTAACGTCTCGTTGTCTCAGGTGAGGTGAGGTGAATGAGGTTTAACGTCTCGTTGTCTCAGGTGAGGTGAGGTGAATGAGGTTTAACGTCTCGTTGTCTCAGGTGAGGTGAGGTGAATGAGGTTTAACGTCTCGTTGTCTCAGGTGAGGTGAGGTGAATGAGGTTTAACGTCTCGTTGTCTCAGGTGAAGTGAGGTGAATGAGGTTTAACGTCTCGTTTTTTCAAATAGATGAGTTGAGGTGAGATGAATGAGGTTTAACGTAACGTTTTTGTGTAAAATGAAGTACATTTTTTAACTTTCACATTAATGGATTGTAGTAATTGACTTTATATAGAAAAAGCAGATATATACACATCAGCCAATCTTTCCTCTAGGGCCTCGGTGTAGAGATCCGACAAGTAAACACGTGGCTCGTACTTGCTGACGACGGTTGTGTCCCCTTGTCCACCTTGTACATACTCATCGAGGAATTGTGCACGGCAGTGCTTCAGGACAAAGGAAGGGTTGATATCAAACAGGGCACAAGCACACGCATTATATACGGTACGATGTGAAAACCCTGTAATGTCTCCTTTGGTGAAAAAAGTACCCCGGAATTGTCTGATTGCCATGGCAACTGCTGTCCTGGATGATATGTGTACTACATCCTCCACTGATGCGAAGATAGCCTCCAGCACTTGGTTGTCAGACTGACTTTCTACTTGGTGAATGTTGAGGTCATCGTCACTCAGAAACATCACAATCAGGGCAGCAGCCTTGTCATTAAGGCCTTGAAGAATTGTCAGAAGTTCTTCCCTAAGATAACGGAAAGGCGCCTGAAAAAAGCGTTCCGAATATTTTTGAAAGTTTTGAAATTCGAAAAAAAGTTTGCACGTTTGAGGAAAGCCTAGGAAAGTTTGTTCAAATTGACAAATCTTGTCCACGTCTAATGCTATTTGACGATTTTTACAATGCTGGAGAAATATTTCCTTCTTCTCTTCAACTGTGTATGACATGTCTGTCAAGTCAAGGAATGAAGGTCCTTTGAAGAAGATGTTTTCTTGTTCCTCAAGTTGGGATATTCCAGTTTTGACATTATGCATGTTTGTGGTAATAATAGCATAAACCTTGTACCTAAGTCGCTCGCCTGTTTCACGTTCATCCATGTCTTCACCCTGACATTGTCGGAGGTCCCGCAGCATGTCCCGGAGCTGGGAAACGTCCTGTGAGAAGTCTAGCGTCCTCAATATGTCATGAAATATAAAACACACATCCTTCTCAAGGCCAATGTATTCAGACAGCTTGAATCTGCAAACGTCAACAACATGAACCAGTTGAAATCCCTGTTCTTGATAATGTGCCCCCAACATGACAGCAATGGATCTCTTCCCTCCACCTGCCGCTCCACTCATTGTCACGTGCCCGCACTTCTCCAGCATGTCCTTCACTGTCCAGAAGATGGAGGTCTCCAGGAAGACCTCTTTAGTTTTGGCTATTTCTCGGTCCAATGCATCTGTTGAATAATATTATCATTTAGACAGTTAAATTTCATATTTCATATGATGAGTGTCAGCATGAAGTACTTACTGTAATTATGGCATGGAGATTACCTATAATGTATCAGTTATAACCTCCTGAATGATTTCGTATTTGCGAATGACACAAAGGTCCTCTCTGGGTATGGTAATTGCGACAGCATTGTTTCCATCATGTGATATGAGACATTAAGAAAGGAGTTTAATTTGAGAATGTATGACCACAAAGGCTACATATTAATGCCTACAGACACGCAGTGACTGAAGGGATGGCAATACATTGTTCATTTGATCAAAACTACGATGGCATCACCGAAAAATGATTTGTTGTAGGTCGATAACAATTCCTAAAGTTACTGAAGTGATATTTCGTGTTTACAGACTGTACATTAAAATGTGGTTGCATACAGTTAAATTGCATATTTCATATAACGGGTCATCATGAGGTACTGTAACGGATTTTTTGAGAGCTGACATGAAATATGCAAGTTATGATGATAAACGATTCCGAATATTGCTGATGACACAAAGGTCTTGTATTTGTACTTGGAATAGATATGTTTCCATCCTTCAAAAGGATAAATTGAAATTGAGTTAACTGAAGGCAGTAATACCTTCAGACAAGCCACACAGAGACGTGCGTTTGATACAAACAAACAACCGGGGAAACACAAAAAAGTGTTTGTTTATAGGTCGTAAACAATTCCAAAACTAACAGAAGTGATATTTAATACTGGCTGACTTTACGATGAAATGCGGTTGGATATATGAAAAACAACCCCTACCTTTGCCCATGACTCCAGTGTTGCCAGAGCTTCCTCTTGGCCCTTGGTCTACAGAGTCAGGATGTGGAACTTCACTTGTTTCTGTGTCAAGAAATAAAAGTAAAATGTGTTTATGGCCAGGAATTTTAAATGAAATCATCCTTACTCTGCTGTTTACGATTCAATCTGCACATCAGAGGACTAGACGAACATGGGGTGAGTGAGTGTTGTTTATGATTCAACCTACAGCAGGTGACTGGGCACATCAGAGGACTAGACGAACAAGGAGTGAGTGAGTGTTGTTTATGATTCAACCTACAGCAGGTGACTGGACACATCAGAGGACTAGACGAACAAGGGGTGAGTGAGTTTTGTTTATGATTCAACCTACAGCAGGTGACTGGGCACATCAGAGGACTAGACGAACAAGGGGTGAGTGAGTGTTGTTTATGATTCAACCTACAGCAGGTGACTGGACACATCAGAGGACAAGACGAACAAGGGGTGAGTGAGTGTTGTTTATGATTCAACCTACAGCAGGTGACTGGACACATCAGAGGACTAGACGAACAAGGGGTGAGTGAGTGTTGTTTATGATTCAACCTACAGCAGGTGACTGGGCACATCAGAGGACTAGACGAACAAGGAGTGAGTGAGTGGTGTTTATGATTCAACCTACAGCAGTTGACTGGGCACATCAGAGGACTAGACGAACAAGGGGTGAGTGAGTGTTGTTTATGATTCAACCTACAGCAGGTGACTGGGCACATCAGAGGACTAGACGAACAAGGGGTGAGTGAGTTTTGTTTATGATTCAACCTACAGCAGGTGACTGGACACATCAGAGGACTAGACGAACAAGGGGTGAGTGAGTGTTGTTTTATGATTCAACCTACAGCAGGTGACTGGGCACATCAGAGGACTAGACGAACAAGGGGTGAGTGAGTGTTGTTTATGATTCAACCTACAGCAGGTGACTGGGCACATCAGAGGACTAGACGAACAAGGGGTGAGTGAGTGTTGTTTATGATTCAACCTACAGCAGGTGACTGGACACATCAGAGGACTAGACGAACAAGGAGTGAGTGAGTGTTGTTTATGATTCAACCTACAGCAGGGGACTGGACACATCAGAGGACAAGACGAACAAGGGGTGAGTGAGTGTTGTTTATGATTCAACCTACAGCAGGTGACTGGGCACATCAGAGGGCTAGACGAACAAGGGGTGAGTGAGTGTTGTTTTATGATTCAACCTACAGCAGGGGACTGGGGACATCGGAGGACATGGCGAACAAGGGGTGAGTGAGTGTTGTTTTATGATTCAACCTACAGCAGGTGACTGGGCACATCAGAGGACAAGACGAACAAGGGGTGAGTGAGTGTTGTTTTATGATTCAACCTACAGCAGGGGACTGGGGACATCGGAGGACATGGCGAACAAGGGGTGAGTGAGTGTTGTTTTATGATTCAACCTACAGCAGGGGACTGGGGACATCGGAGGACATGGCGAACAAGGGGTGAGTGAGTGTTGTTTTATGATTCAACCTACAGCAGGTGACTGGGCACATCAGAGGACAAGACGAACAAGGGGTGAGTGAGTGTTGTTTTATGATTCAACCTACAGCAGGGGACTGGGGACATCGGAGGACATGGCGAACAAGGGGTGAGTGAGTGTTGTTTTATGATTCAACCTACAGCAGGGGACTGGGGACATCGGAGGACAAGACGAACAAGGAGTGAGTGAGTGTTGTTTTATGATTCAACCTACAGCAGGGGACTGGGGACATCGGAGGACATGGCGAACAAGGGGTGAGTGAGTGTTGTTTTATGATTCAACCTACAGCAGGGGACTGGGGACATCGGAGGACATGGCGAACAAGGGGTGAGTGAGTGTTGTTAATGATTCAACCTACAGCAGGTGACTGGACACATCAGAGGACTAGACGAACAAGGGGTGAGTGAGTGTTGTTTATGATTCAACCTACAGCAGGTGACTGGCCACATCAGAGGACTAGACGAACAAGGAGTGAGTGAGTGGTGTTTATGATTCAACCTACAGCAGGTGACTGGGCACATCAGAGGACTAGACGAACAAGGAGTGAGTTTTGATTCATACATTTTCCATAAATATCACAGAAACGTGCTCAATCACTGTGTCCATATGGTGAATCGAACGCTTTAAACACAGGCTACCCCATCGCTCCTTAAGAACAAGACATCATCAAATTGTTTATATATCTCATTTACGGAAAAGCCACCATTAATTGGCTAGTGGCTATAAAATAGAGGATTCATCACGAGTGTTTTTTAATATGGGAAATATCAACCGAGTCTTAGTTAATCGGTATTTGCCGAGCCTTTGGCGAGGCAAATACCGATAAACGGGACGAGGTTGATATTTCCCATATTAAAAAACACGAGTGATGAATTCTATTTATCATTTTCACATTTTTGCTTCCAAATTAAGGAATATTTGCATTAAACATTAACATCAGCAACTTGTCGAAATCTTACGTATAGATCGTGCGTGGTGATACATGTTTTCCATAGCCATGTAAACCAAAATAAACAATTCGCTGAGAAAAAGAGTTCCTCGGATTATTTTAAACAAAATACTTGAACAGACTTTTGCAGAATAATTGAATAACTTTAATAACCGTAACAACAACGATTCTGTGTAATCTGATTATATCTCTTGTGTAACTTCACTTATAATATATAGTTTCAAATCAAACCGCTCGCTCTTCCGGTTATCTAATTTGCATATCTAATTTGCATACTCATGTCATTGGGGTATGACATACATGTGTTTATGTCATAAGCTTATGTCATGGATAAATGCTTAAGTTAAATGATAATACCATCTACTTACCGCCTTTTTTAAACGGGCTATCAATCAACGCCACTACAAAGAAAAGAAGTTTGATTGATAAAAGAACTAACATCAAAATACAAATAATGCCCCACATTGTTCGAGCGCTGCACAATGCATTCAGAGATATCCAATTGACACAAACTACAATCTAGCCATCTGACACGTTTACTTTCAAGTTGGATTTTAATAATAGTAATAACTGGCACATCAATGCAAACCGATTTCTGACATTAAGTCTTGCTTGGAGCCTGGTAACATGCATAGCTTCGTATATGAAGAAAGCAATCATATTCAACGTAACCGAGTTAAACTAGTAACTACAACTAAAATGGATAATACTCACTTTCTTCTCGACAACTAAAACAAAAAAAGCAAGATAGATTGACATGATACCTTAGATGGTTAGATATGGTTATTACGATATATTACAACACATCTCCAGGTGAAATTCTAAGTTTTTGGAAAAGCATTTTACTTATTTCATTTTATATATATATATATCAGATTTTTGTTTTAAGATATTAGGTATTTGCTAATGGCTTAATGCACAATGAGTTCACGATACGTGGCAAAAACATTTCCACAATCATTAGACATCTCTGCTAAAAGAGCTTTCTGTCGTACGATTCTGTCCAAATCCAAAGCCTGAGTTTATCACGGTCAATAAGTACTGATACTTAATGATACCAGGCTTCACAACCGTCACAAACACACGCAAAGCAAAGGTAAATATTCGTGGGAACGTATGGTAAAAGTCAAAATAAGTATTTGCATCGGACATCATTTGGACACTCAAATGTGTATATGTCCTTACTAAAGTCTTATGTAACAAGACAAATAAAGAAACATCATTTGTAAACAATTGGCATCAAATCTGGCGCTACTGTCAGCTCGTGTCAAAGATTTGCTCATATCGAATAATCAAACTGAACCACCATTAAAAACCCAGAAATCAACATTTATTACATATTTTAGTCATACAAGTTAAAGTTGTTATTCAGTAAAATTTAAACATTTTAAACAAAATTCAGCCGTACTGTGTTACTTCAACCTCACTGCTCCACACTCCTTACTATTATTATTATTATTATTATTATTATTATTATTTACGGATTAAAATTAAAAATGAAGCAAAGAGGGTTTGGGTGATCCTGGCACAGTCAGGCTGGTTAGGCTCATCATCAGCTCAGGGCCCTTGCCCCCTCTACACGCAGCCCAGACAGGGAATGGGACTTCTCCTAGGAAGCGCTGCCTAGTCCAACCCACCCAGAGCATTTCGGGGAATGTGAAGACTCCCCAACACTGCAGCCTTCTGTATTACCCAGATTGTCAGGAGGGCTGTATATTTCTGGTAGCAAACCCGTGTACTCTCCCAATGTCAGTCAACAGATTGGGAGGTACCAAACCTAAGGCACCGGGAACAATTGGGAGTCGGACAACTTGTTGCTTGGGATGCAAGCGTAAAATTTCGAAAGCGAGGCCTGCATATTTGCCATGGTTTTTTTCTGAATCTTGTCAATCACCTAGTGTCAAAAGGGACAGAAAATTCAATGATGTAAATGATTTCATTGGATTTATCAAAAAGGTTCCTTGGCCTGGATACGTCTGAGGCTGTATACCGGCCTATTCCAAAGATTTTTGTATTCATCATTTTCCATGACGCCCTCTACATATTCCGGGTCATACCATGGATGGACCTCTGTGTCAAAAGCACAAGCATGGCAGAGTTGGCGAAGACCGTAGTTTACCGTATTTCAGGTATCAAGGCGTCAGCTTCAAGCTGGGGAAAGCCCAAAGTGATAGAAATCGTTCCCAGTTACGTCCTTGGTGAAGCCAAAGTAGAGTAAACTACGGTTGTAACGAACTCATAGGGAACCACTAATTTTAGTTCGTAATAACTGCAGTTCGTTATAAGCATATATACAACATATACAACAAATGGCCCGGACTAAAAAATAATTTCGTTATATCGGTCACTTCGTTAAAAGCATATTCGTTATAAACGTAGTTTACTGTTCATGGGTATAGTTCTCACAAACCACGGCTAATCATAAGATCAGCCTGGAATTCGGGTAAAAATATATACAACATATCATTGAAAAATAAATTCAGAAGTACACAACAATAATTAAATTTTCGTTGTGTTCATTGAAATTCCTGCATTTTGATTAGCTGAATTGGTCAGGTGTTATTGCATTTATTCCCAATGAATGTAATATATTAAGCCACGCCCATCGAGGCGCACTACTTTTATTACTGAGGAATGTCGGGGAATGCCCTTTCGAGGGAATTCCCTTTCTACTCACATGCATCGTCATGTATATGACATTTAGCGACATTCATGAATATTCATTGTCCAAACTATCCTTTGTAACCAAAGGCAGAGAGTGAATGAAACAGCAAACGTGCAGGCTCGCTCGCCTGTTTTTTTTCCCGCTCGACACAGTTTAACTTTCATGTCGTCAGGTTTCATGTCTAGCTAGCATTTCTCCAACTGTGTTTTACCGTAATTAGGCAAGTTATGTTTGAATCTGGCGGTAACTGACAATGTCTTTTGAATCGGCCGCCTTCACTCGGACATATTTCTTCCAGTTCCTTACACAGTCTGACTGTTGCAGTTCTTATCGCCTCTTGCCTTAATTGACAGGTCCTATGAACATTGTTTTGACCCTACTCTCCGTTGATTGGCTACTGACTGTGTAGGCGTGTCAAGTTATTCGCATAAATTAAACAATCACCTGATTCATGTCACGCCACAGTATGTATTCATACACCTGGAATGTTTATCAATCTCGTATTTTTTGTCTGCTGTGATATATACATCTGTTTTTTGTTACACTAGTGTAGATAAAACATGGTTTACGTTGTCAAATTTAATTATAAGCATTGACTGTGGGTTTTTTCTCGGTTCATTGAGTAATGAATCCCAAAACCGGAAGACAATACACGGTTCATTAAGTAATGAATCCCAAAACCGGAAGACAATACACGGTTCATTGAGTAATGAATCCCCAAACCGGAAGACAATACACAGTTCATTAAGTAATGAATCCCAAAACCGGAAGACAATACACGGTTCATTAAGTAATGAATCCCAAAACCGGAAGACAATACACAGTTCATTAAGTAATGAATCCCAAAACCGGAAGACAATACACAGTTCATTAAGTAATGAATCCCAAAACCGGAAGACAATACACAGTTCATTGAGTAATGAATCCCAAAACCAGAAGACAATACACAGTTCATTAAGTAATGAATCCCAAAACCGGAAGACAATACACGGTTCATTAAGTAATGAATCCCAAAACCGGAAGACAATACACGGTTCATTAAGTAATGAATCCCAAAACCGGAAGACAATACACAGTTCATTAAGTAATGAATCCCAAAACCGGAAGACAATACACAGTTCATTAAGTAATGAATCCCAAAACCGGAAGACAATACACGGTTCATTAAGTAATGAATCCCAAAACCGGAAGACAATACACAGTTCATTAAGTAATGAATCCCAAAACCGGAAGACAATACACGGTTCATTGAGTAATGAATCCCAAAACCGGAAGACAATACACAGTTCATTGAGTAATGAATCCCAAAACCGGAAGACAATACACAGTCAATGCTTGATTATATTAACTAGTATGGAAATGAGTATAAGTCGTCTGTACCTTTCATTTAAGTTCGTCCGGTGTCGGTTCCGACGATGTCTACAAAGAAAATTATACTCATCAGAATCCTGAGTGACAACACAACAATACTATAAAAAATACAGGGAAAAGTCCATCGCCAACACGCCCCTTACACCACAAGGGATTATCATGTCAACCAAACAATGTATATGTCATAGATGATGTTCGTTGTTCTGGTTGCTCTGCATCGTACTAATTAAAAGGGGCGGTCGGGTCGATTCCCGACATGGGTACAATGTGTGAAGCCCATTACTGGTGTCCCCCACCGTGATATTGCTGGAATATTGCTAAAAGCGGCGTAAAACCATACTCACTCACTAATCAAAACACAAAAGTGAGTGAGTGAGTTGGGTTTAACGCCACTTTTAAGAGTATTCCAGTGATATCACGGCGTGTCAGCTTGTGGGAGGAGAGCCTGAAGTGATGCAGGTCTCAGGAGTCTCAGCGATAGTGTAGAGAGAGCCCCGCGAACGGGATATCGCTGTGAGGAACTTGGTATCTGGCGCAAGCTCCTTACAGCGATAGTACGTTCCCGGAGCTCTCTATACAGTCGCTGCCACCAGTCAAAACTCCCCACTGTGAATAGGTGGCCACAACCATGCTTGGAGTTGAACTCGCAACCGAATGACCGTTAAGTTTACAAACAAGTGACGACTGTCGTGACGCCGAATACACTTATCGCTGCTAAGTTACTTTCTTCGTTTGTCAATTTGAATTTCTGTTTCATTAAAACTATCATGTTATTGATATAGTAAGAATGTAAGGGAGAAGTTAGTTGATTTTCCGTTAGTCTGCAATCTCGAAACAACCTGATTATCAAAACAATAAAGTAAATCCATCTGGAAAACATGGTCAGTCGTAAACCTTTTCAAATTGAAATATGATGGCATTCCCAAAGACATAAACAAAAGTATTAACGTTACTACATGTGGGGTTAGAGGGCAAATTTCAAGATTCTTGAAATGGCCGCGCCCACACTGGTGGAAGCGATGTTACCGAGAGTGTAGCGAAGGTGTCACGCGCTGGGAAGGAGCTTGTTTCTGGCGTACCCAAGGGACGTAACTCTGTACCGGAAACTGCGGCCCCTAACCCTCACTGGGCCACCCGTGCCCCCTATTCCAGTTTACATGATACTTCTGTTACCAGTGTTGACATCTTCTCTACTCCTTATCAAATACTTATACAGTGTTAACATATTCTTTACTAGATGCACTTTTGACGCAAATAGAAGAATTCGTAATAATTAAAATCAAGAAAAAAAACTGCTAAGGTGAAGACAGTTTACCTCAAGAAGAAATAACCGGCTACAGCGGCTACTACTAAAATGATGAGGACGGCGAGGGGGACCAGGATACTGACCAACCCGCTGTCTTGGTCATCGGAGTCGCTGTCAGATGGCCCAATTTCTTTATATGAAATAAAACAATATGTTCATCAATAGATGCCTGAAGGACGTGAAATACCTCAGCGGACTTTCAAACAGAAAACTACTTCTTGCATGGCATTCGTCACCACTCGCCCTTTTCCGTAACCTGCATGACTCGTCCCCTATCGATGAATGTTATGTGCGAAAATACGACAAACCGATCAGAATGCGCATAGGACTTCAAGTACTTCGGCCGAAGAATCCCTCAGTAATATGTTTTGAATTTACGAATGTCTTGCATTAAAAAATATACCCAAAGCACAGTTTAATGTGTTCAGTCATACTGTATAATACTGTAAGTCACGATGTGTCCCCAAGAGCAACTGGAACGTATATGATATTGGGGGCAAATATACGTGAATCATTACGCAACGAGTTGACAATTCTTTTAGCTATGCCCGTTTGCGCTTAAACGAAACCCAGACGCGACAATGGCCACGAGGGAGTCGCTATTCGGCTTGTTCCGGAATAACACGAGTTGGTCACGAATGCTTGCATGGTTTTTGACGTGTGGGTTTTTAAAACACAACCAATGTCAAGGGGCAGGCTATACACATCTGCAGTTTCACTAAAATATCAAATGATATAGAACGTCAGCGCCAGAGAAAAACAAGTCTCGATTATCCGTAGAACAGATTCCAAAGGCAAAATAGCCGTGATATTGAAAGATCACCGAAACGTCGACAACGTTGTGATGCCATTCCAGATGATGACGATAGGAATATCACTGGAATCATTTGTAACAGTGAAGGCAAACATGATTAATCTGAAACATTGTTTCCGAAGAATAATTCACATCTTGGACTATGAAGTGTTTTAAGATAGTGTTTGTATTTGAACACACTGGTAGCAACGCTCGTGTACTTGTGATGACTAAGGCAGCTGCCAATCGTTCTTTGCATTAAACAACAGCCGACTTGTGGATGATGATGATGATGATGATGATGATATTTGTGATTTAACTCAGCAATATTCAAGCTATATGACGGCGGTCTGTAAATAATCAAGTCTGGACCAGACAATCCAGTGATTGACATCATGAGCATCGATCCAAGCAATTGGGATACGATGACATGCATCAACCAAGTCTGGGAGTCTGACCACCCGATCCCGTTAGTCGCCTCTTATGACAAGCATAGTCGTCTTTTAGGGCAAGCATGGGTTGCTGAAGACCTATTCTACCCCGGATCTTCACGGTCCCGAGTTGTGGAAGCTTACCTTTAGTGACATTACAGTAGTCTCCCGTGTTGGTGTGATTGTCTTTACAACCCAGGTGGCACTGTCCATTCAGGCGAATACAGACGTCATTGAGGCAGTTCTGGCTGCAGCGTGTCTCACACCTGTCACCGTACCATCCCGCGATACATCCCTCCGAGCATCGGCCTGTCTGCTGGTGACAGTGACGAAGTTGTCTGTCGACGTTGGTGTGGCAGTTGAGGGGGCAGGTGAGGTTGCAGTGTTCGCCATACGTCCCCCAATCACAGGGCGTGGCTCCACGGACAGACAGCACTGCAAAGACCACATGTTCAGTGAGTGAGTGAGTAGGGTTTTACGCCGCTTTTAGCAATATTCCAGCAACATCAAGGCGGGGGACACCAGAAATGGGCTTCACACATTTTACCCATGTCGGGAATTGAACCCGGGTCTTCGGCGTGACGAGCGAACGCTCTAACCACTGGGCTCCCCGACCGCCCCTCATGTTCAGTGTTGCTTTGACAAAGAAACATTTCCAACAAGACCTAGGATATGCTTATGGAGCAAGGGAGGGTTAGTGACGTCACAGAGTATGATATGGTAAAACAAAATTACAAAGCTCATACATTAGGTAATCGTATTACAGTAAACTACGGTTAAATCGAACTCAAAAGGACCACTAATTTTAGTTCGCAATTACCGTAGTTCGGTATAAGCATATATACATATATAACATATATACAACACATGGCCGCGACCAAAACATGTTATTTATATCGGTCAGTTCGTTATAAGCGTGTTTCGTTATAAACGTAGTTTACTGTACATGGTTATTGTACTGTTATGATTCATTCTACGGGATTGTACCTACCCTTGGTCGTTTGCTCACATCATATGTGTTGATCAGTTGGAAATAACGTACGTTCATGGACCGGGAAACTCATGTGTAGTGTATGTTGTATATTGTGTGTTGTACTTCTATGTTGTATAGGGGCGGTGGAGGAGCCTTGTGGTTGAAGCGTTGGCTCGTCACGCCGAAGACCCGGGTTCGATTCCCCACATATGCATGTGTACAATGTGTGAAGCCCATTTTTTGGTGTCCCCAGCCATGATATTGCTGGAATACTGCTAAAAGCAGCGTAAAACCATACTCACTAACTCACTCTATGTTTTATATTGTGTGTTGTACGTTGTACGTTGCATATTGTATATTGTACTTCTATGTTTTATATTGTGTGTTGTATGTTGTACATTGTTGTTCTATGTTGTATATTGTGTGTTGTACGTTGTACGTTGCATATTGTATATTGTACTTCTATGTTTTATATTGTGTGTTGTACGTTGTACGTTGCATATTGTACTTCTATGTTGTATATTTTGTGTTGTATGTTGTACATTGTAGTTCTATGTTGTATATTCTGTGTTGTACGTTGCATATTGTATATTGTACTTCTATGTTTTATATTGTGTGTTGTACGTTGTACGTTGCATATTGTATATTGTACTTCTATGTTGTATATTACGTGTTGTATGTTGTGTTGCATTTGTGTTTCTCTGTTGTATATTATGTGTTGTTCGTTGTACGTTGCATATTGTATATTGTACTTATGTGTTGTATGTTGTGTGTTGTATATTGTGTTGCATTTGTGTTTCTATGTTGTATATTGTGTTGCATTTGTGTTTCTATGTTGTATATTATGTGTTGTATATTGTGTTGCATTTGTGTTTATATGTTGTATATTATGTGTTGTATATTGTGTTGCATTTGTGTTTCCCTGTTGTATATTGTGTGTTGTACGTTGTACGTTGCATATTGTATATAGTACCTCTGTGTTGTATGTATATATTGTTTGTAGTATGTTGTATATTGTACTTCTATGTTGTATATTGTGTGTTGTACATTGTATGCATAGTGCATATTGTACATCTTTGTTGTATATTGTGTGTTGTATGTGATATGTTGGATGTTGTACATCTATGTTGTATATTGTGTGTTGTATGTTGTATGTTGTATATTGTACATCTATGTTGTATATTGTGTGTTGTATGTTATATGTTGTATATTGTACTTCTATGTTGTATATTGTGTGTTGTATGTTGTATGTTGTATATTGTACATCTATGTTGTATATTGTGTGTTGTATGTTATATGTTGTATATTGTACATCTATGTTATATATTGTGTGTTGTATGTGATATGTTGTATATTGTACTTCTATGTTGTATGTTGTGTGTTGTATGTTATATGTTGCATATTGTACTTCTATGTTGTATATTGTGTGTTGTATGTTAAATGTTGTATATTGTACATCTATGTTGTATATTGTGTGTTGTATTTTTATATGTTGTATATTGTACATCTATGTTGTATATTGTGTGTTGTATGTGATATGTTGTATATTTTACTTCTATGTTGTATATTGTGTGTTGTATGTTATATGTTGTATATTGTACTTCTATGTTGTATATTGTGTGTTGTATGTTATATGTTGTATATTGTACATCTATGTTGTATATTGTGTGTTGTATGTTATATGTTGTATATTGTACTTCTATGTTGTATATTGTGTGTTGTATGTTATATGTTGTATATTGTACTTCTATGTTGTATATTGTGTGTTGTATTTTGCATATTGTAGTTCTATGTTGTATATTGTGTGTTGTAAGTTGTACGTTGCACATTGTATATTGTACTTCTAAGTTGTATATTGTACTTATATGTTGTATATTGTACTTATATGTTGTATATTCTGTGTTGTATGTTGTACATTATACTTCTGTGTTGTATATTGTGTGTTGTACGTTGTACGTTGTATATTGTACTTCTATGTTGTATATTGTGTGCTGTACGTTGTACGTTGTATATTGTACTTCTATGTTGTATATTCTGTGTTGTATGTTGTACGTTGCATATTGTATATTGTACTTCTATGTTGTATATTATGTGTTGTATGTTGTGTTGCATTTGTGTTTCTCTGTTGTATATTATGTGTTGTATATTGTGTTGCATTTGTGTTTCTCTGTTGTATATTGTATGTTGTACATTGTAGTTCTATGTTGCATATTGTATATAGTACCTCTGTGTTGTATGTTGTATATTGTTTGTAGTATGTTGTATATTGTACTTCTATGTTGTATGTTGTGTTGTACATTGTATGCATATTGCATATTGTACATCTGTGTTGAAAATTGTGTGTTGTACGTTGCACGTTGTATATTGTATATCGTATGCTGTATGTTGTAAATTGTGTGTTTTACGTTGTATGTTGTTTATTGTGTGTTGTACGTTATGCGTTATATGTTGTGTTGTACATCTATGTTGTATACTGTGTGTTGTATGTTGTATGTTGTATATTGTACTTCTAAGTTGTATATTGTGTGTTGTATGTTATATGTTGTATATTGTACTTCTATGTTGTATAATGTGTGTTGTATTTTGCATATTGTAGTTCTATGTTGTATATTGTGTGTTGTACGTTGTACGTTGCATATTGTATATTGTACTTCTATGTTTTATATTGTGTGTTGTACGTTGTACGTTGCATATTGTATATTGTACTTCTATGTTGTATATTATGTGTTGTATGTTGTGTTGCATTTGTGTTTCTCTGTTGTATATTATGTGTTGTATATTGTGTTGCATTTGTGTTTCTCTGTTGTATATTGTGTGTTGTACGTTGTACGTTGCATATTGTATATAGTACCTCTGTGTTGTATGTTGTATATTGTTTGTAGTATGTTGTATATTGTACTTCTATGTTGTATATTGTGTGTTGTACATTGTATGCATATTGCATATTGTACATCTGTGTTGAAAATTGTGTGTTGTACGTTGCACGTTGTATATTGTATATCGTATGCTGTATGTTGTAAATTGTGTGTTTTACGTTGTATGTTGTTTATTGTGTGTTGTACGTTATGCGTTATATGTTGTGTTGTACATCTATGTTGTATATTGTGTTGTTTATCGCATGTTGTGTGTTGTGTGCTGTATGTTGTATGTTGTATGTTGTATATTGTAAATGGTATTTTGTATATTGTACACACGATATATTGCTTATTGTATATTATTGTACGTTGTCTGGTGTATGTGGAGCATAGGCAATGAGCAACACGATACACGCTTTTGTTTTGGTACTCACTTGATGTAAACAGGAAAAACCCAAACATCTCCTTCATGATGCGTCTGCCGTTACTATGGTTACTGCGGAGACTGTGAAAGAGAAAGTGAAACATACATTTGTTTACATATTTCACATAGAAAGCGAAACTGACACTGATCAAAAGTAAATAATGAATAAAATAAACCAAATATGCTTACATTTCTTGTATCAAACAAAATTGACCTACACAGTTTGTGTGATAACAGAGCTTCCACGGGTCTTCTACAAGCCATGCTTTTCGTAAGAGGCGACTGATGGGATCGGATGGTCAAGCTCGCCTGTCATGTTGATAGATGTCATTGCGTCCTATTTTTTTAGATCGGTGTTTATGTCGTCAGTCAATGGATTGTCTGGTCCAGACTCGATTATTTACAGACCGCCGTCAGATAGCTGGAATATTGCCGCGTTAAACAACGAACAAACAAATCTCAGCATAATTAAAGCAGTGTTCTAATGTGTTTGTCTGTATTGCTATATCGCACCAGAGGTTTGCCGCCCCCAGGGTCCCATTCCATTCAGTTGTTTGTTGTTTTGCGTACCCCCCCCCCCCCCCCCCCACACACACACACACACACACGTACCCATTTTACCATCGCTATATTACATGAGATGAATATACAGCCTTCAGGGTATATATTCCCCATTTAAATGTATATTCACCCCCTTTTATGATGTGTCGATATTTGACGCTTATTTCGCGACGTCTGGAAAATCCCAGTCTGCGCGTCGGGATTTCCTGCTTGCTGTATAGTGAGCAACTCCTTTGTTCCTGGTGCAGATAGGGACACAATGTTGCTTCAACGTGACTCTGAATTACTAAGGATATAAACGTTTGTATATCGCTGTGGTAAATATGTTACGCACTTATAGTCGTTTCTTAAAAGAAACACATTTACTGGCTGTTTTGTAATCGACTGTCGGGTACGGAACATATAGATCTATACAAAGACAGAAAGCAGGCATAGGCAGACGTAACAAGACACAAGCAGACAAAAACTAACATATGCAGACAAAGGCAAGACATACGCAGACAAAGGCAGACATAGACAGATAAAGGAAGACATAGACAGATAAAGGAAGACATAGACAGATAAAGGAAGACATAGACAGATAAAGGCAGACATAGACAGACAAAGGCAGACATAGACACATAAAGGAAGACATAGACAGATAAAGGAAGACATAGACAGACAAAGGAAGACATAGACAGACAAAGGAAGACATAGACAGACAAAGGAAGACATAGACAGATAAAGGAAGACATAGACAGATAAAGGAAGACATAGACAGATAAAGGAAGACATAAACAGATAAAGGCAGACATAGACAGACAAAGGAAGACATAGACAGACAAAGGCAGACATAGACAGACAAAGGCAGACATAGACAGATAAAGGCAGACATAGACAGACAAAGGCAGACATAGACAGATAAAGGAAGACATAGACAGACAAAGGAAGACATAGACAGACAAAGGCAAGACATACGCAGACAAAGGAAGACATAGACAGACAAAGGCAGACATGGACAGACAAAGAAAGACATAGCCAGACCGAAAAATATATAGACAGACACAGGAAGACATAGACAGACAAAGAAAGACATAGACAGACAAAGGAAGACATAGACAGACAAAGGAAGACATAGACAGACACAGGAAGACATAGACAGACAAAGAAAGACATAGACAGACAAAGGAAGACATAGACAGACAAAGGAATTCATAGACAGACAAATAAATTCATAGACAGACAAAGGAAGACATAGACAGACAAATAAATTCATAGACAGACAAATAAATTCATAGACAGACAAAGGAAGACATAGACAGACACATAAATTCATAGACAGACAAAGGAAGACATAGACAGACAAAGGAAGACATAGACAGACAAAGAAAGACATAGACAGACAAAGAAAGACATAGCCAGACCGAAAAATATATAGACAGACAAAGGAAGACATAGACAGACAAATAAATACATAGACAGACAAAGGAAGACATAGACAGACAAAGAAAGACATAGCCAGACCGAAAAATATATAGACAGACAAAGGAAGACATAGACAGACAAATAAATACATAGACAGACAAAGGAAGACATAGACAGACAAAGGAAGACATAGACAGACAAATAAATTCATAGACAGACAAAGGAAGACATAGACAGACAAATAAATACATAGACAGACAAAGGAAGACATAGACAGACAAAGGAAGACATAGACAGACAAATAAATTCATAGACAGACAAAGGAAGACATAGACAGACAAATAAATTCATAGACAGACAAATAAATTCATAGACAGACAAAGGAAGACATAGACAGACAAAGGAAGACATAGACAGACAAATGAATTCAGAGACAGACAAATAAATTCATAGACAGACAAAGGAAGACATAGACAGACAAATAAATTCATAGACAGACAAATAAATTCATAGACAGACAAAGGAAGACATAGACAGACAAATAAATTCATAGACAGACAAAGGCAGACATAGACAGATAAAGGAAGACATAGACAGACAAAGGAAGACATAGACAGACAAAGGAAGACATAGACAGACAAAGCCAGACATAGACAGATAAAGGAAGACATAGACAGACAAAGGCAGACATGGACAGATAAAGGAAGACATAGACAGACAAAGGAAGACATAGACAGACAAAGGCAAGACATACGCAGACAAAGGAAGATATAGACAGACAAAGGCAGACATGGACAGATAAAGACTTTATAGACAGACGAAGTTTGGCATACGCAGACAAAGGAAGAACTACGCAGACAGACGCATACATGGACAGACAGATGAATTCATAGACAGACAAAGGAAGACATAGACAGACAGATGAATTCATAGACAGACAAAGGAAGACATAGACAGACAGATGAATTCATAGACAGACAAAGGAAGACATAGACAGACAGATGAATTCATAGACAGACAAAGGAAGACATAGACAGACAGATGAATTCATAGACAGACAAAGGAAGACATAGACAGACAGATGAATTCATAGACAGACAAAGGAAGACATAGACAGACAGATGAATTCATAGACAGACAAAGGAAGACATAGACAGACAAAGGAAGACATAGACAGACAAAGAAAGACATTGACAGACAAAGGAAGACATAGACAGACAAAGGAAGACATAGCCAGACCGAAAAATATATAGACAGACAAAGGAAGACATAGACAGACAAAGAAAGACATAGACAGACAAAGGAAGACATAGACATACAAAGGAAGACATAGACAGACAAAGGAAGACATAGACAGACAAAGAAAGACATAGACAGACAAAGGAAGACATAGACAGACAAAGGAATTCATAGACAGACAAATAAATTCATAGACAGACAAAGAAAGACATAGACAGACAAATAAATTCATAGACAGACAAATAAATTCACAGACAGACAAAGGAAGAGATAGACAGACACATAAATTCATAGACAGACAAAGGAAGACATAGACAGACAAAGGAAGACATAGACAGACAAAGAAAGACATAGACAGACAAAGAAAGACATAGCCAGACCGAAAAATATATAGACAGACAAAGGAAGACATAGACAGACAAAGAAATACATAGATAGACAAAGGAAGACATAGACAGACAAAGGAAGACATAGACAGACAAATAAATTCATAGACAGACAAAGGAAGACATAGACAGTCAAAGGAAGACATAGACAGACAAAGAAAGACATAGACAGACAAAGAAAGACATAGCCAGACCGAAAAATATATAGACAGACAAAGAAAGACATAGACAGACAAAGAAAGACATAGCCAGACCGAAAAATATATAGACAGACAAAGGAAGACATAGACAGACAAAGAAATACATAGACAGACAAAGGAAAACATAGACAGACAAAGGAAGACATAGACAGACAAATAAATTCATAGACAGACAAAGGAAGATATAGACAGACAAATAAATTCATAGACAGACAAATAAATTCATAGACAGACAAAGGCAGACATAGACAGATAAAGGAAGACATAGACAGACAAAGGAAGACATAGACAGACAAAGGCAGACATAGACAGATAAAGGCAGACATAGACAGATAAAGGAAGACATAGACAGACAAAGGAAGACATAGACAGACAAAGGCAGACATAGACAGACAAAGGCAGACATAGACAGATAAAGGCAGACATAGACAGACAAAGAAAGACATAGCCAGACCGAAAAATATATAGACAGACAAAGGAAGACATAGACAGACAAAGAAAGACATAGACAGACAAAGGAAGACATAGACAGACAAAGGAAGACATAGACAGACAAAGAAAGACATAGACAGACAAAGGAAGACATAGACAGAAAAAGAAAGACATAGCCAGACCGAAAAATATATAGACAGACAAAGGAAGACATAGACAGACAAATAAATACATAGACAGACAAAGGAAGACATAGACAGACAAAGAAAGACATAGCCAGACCGAAAAATATATAGACAGACAAAGGAAGACATAGACAGACAAATAAATACATAGACAGACAAAGGAAGACATAGACAGACAAAGGAAGACATAGACAGACAAATAAATTCATAGACAGACAAAGGAAGACATAGACAGACAAATAAATACATAGACAGACAAAGGAAGACATAGACAGACAAAGGAAGACATAGACAGACAAATAAATTCATAGACAGACAAAGGAAGACATAGACAGACAAATAAATTCATAGACAGACAAATAAATTCATAGACAGATAAAGGAAGACATAGACAGACAAAGGAAGACATAGACAGACAAATGAATTCAGAGACAGACAAATAAATTCATAGACAGACAAAGGAAGACATAGACAGACAAATAAATTCATAGACAGACAAATAAATTCATAGACAGACAAAGGAAGACATAGACAGACAAATAAATTCATAGACAGACAAAGGCAGACATAGACAGATAAAGGAAGACATAGACAGACAAAGGAAGACATAGACAGACAAAGGAAGACATAGACAGACAAAGCCAGACATAGACAGATAAAGGAAGACATAGACA